TCTCTCTCTCTCAAATAAATAAATAAAATCTTTAAAAAAATAAAAAATAAATAAAAAAGATTTTATTTAGGGGTGCCTGGATGGCTCAGTCGTCAAGCGTCTGTCTGCCTTCGGCTCAGGTCATGATCCCAGAGTCTTGGGATTGAGCCCCACATGGGGCTCCCTGCTCGGCGGGAAGCCTGCTTCTCCCTCTCCCACTCCCCCTGCTTTGTTCCCTCTCTCACTGTGTCTCTCTCTGTCAAATAATGAATAAAATCTTTAAAAAAATAAATAAAAAATAAAGTAGTGGAGGACAAGTTTGAGAGAGATTAAGAGGGACATTGAGGCAATATTGAGGAACTGATTCCACCCAGTGGGACACGAGATTGTCACAGCTGGTGTGCTTGGATTTCTGGCTGAGATGTCCAGTGGATAATTAGAAAGAGGAATATGGTAAGGCTGCCTGATATTCTTCCAGGGGAAGGTCATTGGGTCACTCACAGAGGACCTGGGCTCCAAGCATCCGTCCAGGGGGAGAGCTGGAGCCTCTCAGTGGGCTAAAGGCCAGCAGGTATGTGCTTCCATTCATCTGGCCTTCTGTCTCCCAATAGGAGGAAGCAAAAAATTTCATCACCCGAGAAAACCTGGAGGCACGGGTTGAAGAAGCCTTGGACTCGCCAAAGAGCTACAACTGGGCTGTCACCAGAGAGGGGCTGGTGGTCAAGCCACAGCACAAGGGCTCTTAAGGGCCCAGTAAGGACAGTGCCCACCCAGGGACCATGTGTGTATGGGGGTAGGAGGGTTGGGCCTGATGTGCAATAAATCTGTTGATGTTTCTTATGAAGAAGGAGGCTCAACCTGTTCCGGTGTAGCCTTCACATTCTGGCCTCTGCACCCACCACTTGGTCAGAAATTCCCATACACAGTGACCTCTTCTGCACCCATGTACAACTCAGCAAAGCACCAGACCTCAGAGGTTCCCATCTCACAGAGGAGCAGAATGGACCATCGTCACCTCAGGCAACTGGCTCATCTACTAAGTGTCATCGAGGACAAGGACAGTGGTTGGCAAATTACAGTCCTTGGGCCCAGTCTGGCCCGCTGCCTATTTTTGTAAATAAATTTTATTGGAACACAGCTACGGCCATTCATTGACTACTTTCACACTATGATGGCAGAAACCAGTAGCTGCAACAGAAGAAGTTTGCCGACTCCTGATCTAGACCTTTAGGACTCCAGCCAGAGTAACCAGATACCACCCAGTACCTGAGATACATGCTAACCGCTGGCCTGCTTCCGCGTGACCCTGAGATTTGCCCTCTAGGGTTTGGTGTGCCCAAGACACAGAAGGCAAGGAGGAGACCCCATTTCTTTCGGTGGCCCTTTCCACCCATGACTTCAGTGACCCACATGTGCCCTGGCACTGCCTGCTTCCTTGGACCACACACCAGATTGGTACTGGCAGGGGAGGCCTGGTTGACCTTTACAAGGTCAGTGTGGCTTATCCAGCACTTGGACCAAACCCTACAGTGCCAGAAATACTTAAAATTGAAGTTCACAAGGTTCACCAAGTGAACACAGAGATGTATGGCCCCTCTTCAAGCACAAGTCCTCGTGTTTCTCAGAGCCAGAGCCGCTGCCCCTTTGTCACCCTTCACCTGAACTTGCCCAGATACCACCAGGGGAAAGCAAATAGAATCCTAGTTTCTTTCCCCAACTCCCATGTAGTAGAAACGGTCTGGAAACCCCCAAAATATGAAAGCCTTTTAGGGAATATGGGCCATCCCTCAACATCCAGGTGAGGAAGCAGGTACAGAAGTACAGGCAGAGACCCAGTGGTTCTCACAGTGCCTTGCACCCAGCCTCCATCAGGCCCTGACCCCCTGAGGACAGTGGCCTCCCTCCGCAGGCTGATAGTAGGTCATCTTTTCCCGGGCACTGGGCCCAGGTGCAGGACAATGCAGTCCTTGGTTTCAGGTGCTCAGTGTAACTTCTGAGGTGAGAGCTGATGGGTGTACATTATGGGCCATGGATTGAGGCAACTGTG